TGGATGCGCGCTGCTGAGGAGTCCCATAATAGGACGAAACGGTCGTCCAGTGTTTCCAGGTTTTCCATGGTGGTCTAGCTTCAATTGACTCACGCTTTCAACTATGAAAGATAATTATATAACAACATAAGTTTATTCTACGTGTAAGAAACGGAAACCCCTATTACTTATTAGATACCTTAATTTGGATTTATTTATTCCAATATCGTAACTAAATACTAAAGCGACTTATAGCAATATTTAACTATCCCATGTTCGGTGTTAAGTATTTGGAAACGAAAAACGGTAATTAGAGCTTCGTGTCTGATTATGCTAATCAGCAGAGTGGATTCATGAAATGATAAAACAATGCATTTCAGAAATCGAAATTAGTTAAGTCAGAACATGGCAATTCTCCCATGCTAACCTATTAACGAAAACTGGGGTTTTATATCACTGTTCCTATAACTACTTATTCCTAAAAGTAGAAGACATGCTTAAGCTATAAGTTTTCGATCATATATGTCTTCGGAGCATTGCTAGCATTTCGTGGGACGGCCGGTCTACCACTGTTGAAGTTAGGCATATGGTACTAGACAAAGTTGGGGAGTCGGGTTGATTTTTCATCGGTTGAGATGGTTAGGACATGTTACACATTTTTTGTCACCAATTATCTCGATGGGCAATGTTATCTGATGTAGGATTTATTTTAAAGCTAAAGTGGGGCTAAAAAGGAGCTCGGCATCAGTCCATGAAGTAATCAACTGTTGATCTGAGTGATCCTGGTAGGTCCAAACTACGTGGTCGAGTCCGCGAGATTAATGCGATCAGTAGTTGGAAACTTTGGGTGGCATGGCTCAGAATCGTTTACAATAACACGGATACATTCACTCTCTGTCTTCCTCTCGAAGTTGAATTCTAGTATTCCTTCATACATACCTTTCCACTACATCTTTTTCAATCCCATTCTTAATCCCCAATCATTCCCATTGTCATTGCTACTACACTATTCTGATCTCTTATGCTATTATCCTGTTTATTTCATATTTTCGTGCTGATATTATGGCAACGCATCCGTGTCAGGCTTTACATCGACTTATCTGATCTGTCTTTAAAGTACTCACTTCCTAAAATTCATCCTAGGTCATTGTAGCTGTATACCAACTAATTCATTTTGTCTTTCAATGTGTCTGGTCAGATGTTTGCTTCCGTTTTCACTCGTACGTAGATGTCCTATTTTGTTTTCTGATGCCAAGATATTTATTATCCTTCTCTGTTTAAAAATCTTTTTCAGAGCACTTTGCGAGTGTGGTTCTTGGTAAGTTAACGCATCTGTATTTTTGTTTTATGCCGAAGCTTATCTATTCTTCCTTTATTCTTCCTTCATTTAGAAGATCCATCTGGTAACTTAATTTTAACTGTCACCGGTCATAATGTCATTAGCTTAATTAACAGCTTAGTTGATGATGATCTTAGACCATGTATCAATAATGATACGTGGTGGACGGGACTAATATTCGAGATGAAAGAATTGCAAAATATTGGTATATCACCAGATAAAATAATTCTTGAACAATGTCGTCGATTATTAGGTCAGTGGATCGATGTTGCAGTTAAAATAAGTTGGTCAAAGAAATCCATTCCAGGTACTACAAACACAGAAAATGACAATGATCTCCAGTTTCATATTAATGATTGGGATTTTGTGTAGGAACTTATGTTGAAATTACTTTACATAAAATCGCATTTAAACAATGCATTTCTCTGCTATTCCATACTCACCTTATGCATAGTTTTGAATAAACATCCATGAAATTTTTTGTCAATCTATTTTCTACTATAAAACTTTTTAAATTGCCATGGTTATCTTGTTTACCGTTGTGGTTTGAGTTAAGGTTTTGTATTTTTAAACTCTGTACGATTAGGATATTCCCTTAGTGCGAATGGGACCCACGCGAACTGAATGAACCAGACAACTAACACAACCCTTTAGTGACAATTCTCTGCGAAAACAAAGAGTAAATAAAGTCTTGTAGGGAAAATGTGTTGGTAAGGACGATCAGAGGAAATAGTTTGAACTCACATCAGTCCACTTACATACCTATTGATCATTACAAACTATATCAGACTGATCAATCGTCAGTGAATTTATGAACATAATAAAGTATTTTAAAACCATATGACTAATTTTATATTGAATAGATTAGTACAAACCAGATTTCACTTGGTACCAAGTTGGTCTTGAGGTAATATTCGAAAGGGATTAGTGTTTGAAGATTTAGCATTTCCAACACTCAGCGATTAAAATAAAGCACGCACCCTATATGCTAAAATTCATTCTACTATTGAGCTCTGAGTGAAGCTTTAACTCAAGTGCTTCCATCCGTTTTTGCCTAATTGAAGTTCTAACATGTAGAACTTCAATTTACTTGAAACGGCGTGAGTACTTATAGTAAGTAAATATTGATTTGCGTTTCTAGTTCAATACAGTATTTAAAGTTGTTCATTAGTTGCAAAATGTTCTTGTGTCTTTAACACTAAAACGGAATAAAGTTGTTCGAACATGTGCACTTACTCACACCTGATCTTTTAAACCTCTATCCTATGCACATGCAGGTTGTGTTGTGGTGAATGTTTGAAAATACAATTCTGTCCTGTGATTAAATATAAACGTCTTAGCTGTGTTTACTAAACATTTAAATTTGATTTTGTTAAGTGTATCGTAATCATGTAGAGTAGTTACGACTAGCTGAGATCTGTTGTTCGATATTACTAACAAAGAAACTCGCGACTGTACCATAATTCTACGGTTTCGTGTTACGTTTTGTCGTAAAAGTGAAAATTGCTGTTCGGACTTAGAAGCATACCACATTAAATCATAAGCTAATCTGAGCTTGGTTGCCACTAAAAATCAGGAGACATTCCTTACATACGCCTGTAACCCCTCGTGTAAAAGTATAGGGCGCCTAACAGCATTATCCATCGACCTGTCCTGGGCAGTCCTTTTCATGTTTGCTTGTAATTAATGGAGCAATGTGTTTTTTGGCCTTCCGCTTTTCCGTTTCACCTCAGGATTCCAGGTTAGCATCTACTTCGTGATACAGTTTGTTGATTTGCACAACGTATGTCCTATCCAACCCTAACGTTTTTTCCTAATTTCCTCTTCAACTGAAAGCCGGTTTGCCCTGTTACAAAGTGAGCTGTTTCTGATGGCACTCGGTCAACTGACAGAGTATATTGTGTAGACAATTGTTTAGAAATACTTGTACTATTTTGATGATGGTTGTAGTAGTTCTCCAATTTTCAGCTTCGTACAGTAGAACTGTCTTGACGTTCGCATTGACGATTGTGATTTTGATATTGGTTGACATTTGTTTTGAGTTGCATATGTTCTTCAACTGTAAAAATGCTGCTATTGCTTTGCCGATCTTCACCCTCACATCACTATCAGATCCTTCTTGTTCATCGATGATGCTGCTGTCCGGGTGAAAGTTTTCACCTCTTCCAGAGTTTCTCCATCAAGTTTGACAGGGTTGGTGTTCACCGTGTTGTATTTGAGGCTTTCGCTTTTTCCCTTGTGTGTGTTGAGGCCTACTGATGTAGAGGCTGCTGCCACACTGGTTATCTTGACCTGAATTTGTTCGTGTGTATGGGAAAGAAGTGCTAGATGGTCTGCGAAGTCCAAATCGTCTAGCTGCATGCAAGTTGTTCATTGTATTCCGCGCTTCCCCTCAGATGTCGGTCATCATAATCCCGTCAACCGCTAGGGAAAAGAGAGTGAGAGTAAGCATCTTTGTCTGACTCCGGTTTTCACTTGCAATGAGTCTGTCAGCTGTCCTCTATGCATGACCCTGCAGTGCAGTCCGTAGCATAAGTTCCGTATGATGTTGACGGTCTTTTCAGGTACTCGCACCAGTGTCTAAAAAAGGTTCCGTAAGGTTTTCCTATCTGCGCTGTCAAACACCTAATAGTCAAGGAGGTTGATGCATAGTGACTCATTCTATTCAATTGATTGTTCAACGATGGTCCGTAGTGTTACGATTCGGTCTGTACACGACCGATCCTTACGGAATTCGACCCGTTGATCTCGAAGCTGGGCGTCTACTGAATCTTTCATCCAGTTTAGTAACACTCTGTCGAAAACATTTACCTGTACCGATAATAGTGTGATGCCTTTGTAGTTTTCATATTTACTCAGATCTCCTTTCTTTCGTATCTTGATGGAGTATCATTCTTTCCAGTCTGTCAGTGACACTCGTTCTTCTTCCCAAATCTTCCTGAATAGAATGTAGAGCGTGTTCGCAATTGCTTCTATGTGTGACTTTGTCGTTTCAGCTGGTATATTGTCAGGTCTTATTGCTTTCCCACTTTTGATTTGTCTGATGGCCACGCTGATTTCTTTGATGGCTGGTGCAGTGCATCTTTGGGAAGGTCTGTTTTCTGCTTCGCTGTCCGATGGGTTTAGTGGAACCGGTCTGTTCAACAGTTCCCCAAATTGTTCCACCTATCTCCGCCTGCTGCTCTTACAAGGTTACTACCGATCCCAAGCCCGGGTGGAGCACATCCTTGCTAAAGAATCGTTAGCCAGAGTAAACGAGCGTAGGGTTCTTCAACCGTTCACATGCACACCGTATCACGAAACTTCCCTTCCTACACGCTAACTCTTAGCCTCTAGACCATGGAGCCGGCTACCAATGGTTTGCATATCCGGCGATCGTATTCCACTGATTTTGGTAGATAACTTTCCTACGTATTCGACATGCTTAGACCCCACTTGTTACTGGTTCTCACTAATTCACATTATTACGTGCTTAATTTCTGTTGGCTAGATAAAAGATGTGTCTAATATTTTAAAATATACATTCAGTGTACTTTTACTTCTCAAATTTTTGTGACAAAACGCGTACAATTACGAGCGTACTAGAAACTGAAATAGGAGGCGAATATCATATCTAAGTTGCCACACCTCATTACAGATAATATTAGTAAGATTCCACAGCACATATTAAACCACTATATTTTATAAACCCAAATGATTGGGAGCCATAACTCTTTTATACTAATCTAGCAAAAAAATAATAATTTGTAACGATCACATTTATTTGCCAAGTTTATTCAATTTTAAAGGCATGAAAATTCTAAGAATGTTAACAGGCCTTCGAAATCGTTCATCACAGAGAATATATGGTAAGAGATACAGAAAATAGAAGTACAATATATTGAACCTTTCAGGAACAAAGAAAATGAGCTTTAAATGTTTTTTTGTTTAATTAGTTGAGCATTGATCTGACAATCCCCATTACATGAAACGTATGGCGCGTATTAGCTATACGAGTACAACTATAATAAAATTTTAAAACACAAGAAACTATGTGGTTGGCAAACGCTTAGAGATCAGGGAAAGGCAGTTGAGGTTGCACGAAAGAAACAAGAACACATGGTTAAAGTTCATCTTCAGAATAACTCAAGCAGTCCAACAATAATGCGGTACCAGATGGAAGGCAGTAGATAATTTTGAGGGATAGGAGGTTCTATCGTTTGATTCACGTGACATCTCTCATGACACATCTGGAAATAAAATTAAGAGAAATTAAATATTCTAAAAAAATTAACCAATGTTATGTTTGTTAATACACAATACCTTGTAAATTATTATCTGCGATTAGGGTCCCTAATTAAGAAAAAGGTTGCATTTGGCTACAGAAATGCTTGGTTTCGGATAAACTTTGGCGTAAAAGACAGTCATAAAGGAATAAAGCACACTTTGTTTGAATGGAAGTTTAGTCAAATTAATTCTCATTGTTTTTACTGATGAAGAATTCAGTAAGAACCTAAACCAAGATTATGAGTATCATCTTTATGTGAAAATAAATTAAACGATACTGTTGGATATCCTTGTAAAAAGATTGGTTCCTACAATTCTTTGTAACTCATTTTACTATCTTTTTTGATAAATGCTCGAAATCCTTACCAAATCGGCTAGAATTTGCGAGTCTATAAATGACTACTTTGGGGACTGGATTTCGAAATTACTAATGACACTGAATACCTTTACGATAAGTTTATTTGTAAAAGATAATCGACTGAATAGAAAATATGATTTAGAAGTCTTAGCGGTGTTTAGGTCGAAGATCAATAGAAATTAAACAAAACTGGGCTTCTGAGTGCCGATAAATATTCAGAAGTGATCAATAATAAATCCAACGAATTCTAATTGTACTTTCTCTTGAAGGAAATGGTTGTAGTGTGCTTTAGTTTATTTTCAAGCCTATTTATTCACGAACTAAGTGAACCAAATTTCTGAGTGATTATTATTTGCTTGGATTATTACCCAGATAGATAACATCAGAGCATTTAAAAAGCCGAATCCGACAAACAATTACATTGCCCGATAAACTGAACCTAGACATAGAGGTCAGAACGATATATGGGAAAATATCCTTTGACTTAGAATGGAAAATACGGCAATGTTCAAATGGTGACTAGTTAATAGTCAACCAAAAGGAATGTTATCATTATGAACAAATACGATGTCAAACTTACAACTCATTGGGGTGTTCTGAAATCGACTGTAGAGTTGATCATGATTGAACTTCAGAAATGCTTCATACTGCTCTGAAATGTAAGGGAGGATTCAATTAGCTTAGGTCTGAAACAACTACCCAATTGTTTTTTTGTTTTGACGATGTTGAACTAGCTGCTTTAAAAATCTTATTTTCGCCTCTTCAAGGAGTTTGGTTCTCTTTTTACCTACGCCTGGTTGTTGTTGTACCGAAAACGAAATACACTTTTGTGGAGAACCGCTTAGGCAAATCACGTTTTAAGTAATGAAGTATTATAATTGACTGGCAGAGGGAATAGTGTCGACATAAATTATCAAGATTTTATTTTAGTTGAACAGACTGGGCTGAACGGATATCACTATTATTGTAGTATAAATCGACTGTATAAGGCGATACGGATCCATCTGAGTGTATTTTCCGGTCTAGTTAATTAAAAGTAATCTGCATGTGGAGTTGTTGATGTTAAATCCCGAAATATGACATTCAGTTTCAAAAATAACGTTCTTCTTTTAAATGAATTCTGTATATCAACTTAACTTTCCGCATTAATTAATTTAGACTTATTCTCGTCCACCGACTTTTAGTGAATTCTTGTTTGCATCAATCTATTCAATATAAATCTAGCCATTTGATTTTAAAACACCTCATTGTATTCGTAAATTAACTATGATGATCGATCAGTATGGAAACGTTTTTAATAAATAATAAAATATAAATGGACTGACTTGAGTGTAAACCAATTCTTCTTAGGGTCACTATCAAGAAAAACTTTCACACAAAATTGACTTTCCGAACTTAGCATACTGACAATGACAAAGAGGATAAAAGTAGCCTTGCTTGTCATATTCAGGTCAAAGTTGTAAATAATTTGTTTGCTGTACAAATGTATCGAAAGTGTAAGTTACTACACTTCAGAAGAACGATAATGTTGCATTTAAGACTAGTAATGATACGACAATAATTCACACCGCGGTTTGAGACTTGACAGCGTTTGATGTAACTACGCTCTAATATTTAATGATCTCTAAATAGGATACTGTTCTTTGAAAGTTATACATTCTCAACGGAATATAAACAGATTTGAACAAGCTGATAGTGTCTGTGGTTATAAAAGTGGTATAAGCAATCAAGAATATTGCACTATGTAGTGAAGAAGTTATGGACATAACTAACATGTGGTACATTAATAAATAACATTCTTAAAGTAGTTACGACGGTAACAAGAAATGTAATATTGAAGGTACCAGATGATTGAACTGGTTACATAGTGAGAAAGGCTTAGACCTAACTGTCATTAGAGTGAATGACCTACAATATTAATTTCCTCTGACCACCCATGACATCTGGTGCTGTTCCTTATTCTGTCAATAACTCATATGTAGGCAAAATGTTTTATTTGGAAAATATTCTGACGAATGGTCATTAACATCAGTTCATTGGAAAATCTGAATCGATAATCCGGTCCTATGAGCACCAGTCACACAGCTACATCTTACGACTTTCATCTGTCAACGAGCATTCTGTTCATTCATTTACTAATCTGTATACATTCTTCATTACAAATGATGAAACTCTACTTTATAACAGACGGTAAGTTTGAAGTATTGCTGCAGTTAGCTAGACATTCAGTGCCAATGTTTAGTACTGAAGTGCCTAAATTATAAAATAATATTCGGATTCCTACATACACAGTTTCTTTGTAGGAAAAAACATTGGAAATCAACTATTATTTTATCTAAATTAACAAGTCTGCTCGGACGGAAAGTTTGGAAAACAGGTTTTATATTTAAGACTAGTATACACTAACCATCACATTGTGAACTAACCTGCTAATTTACAAGATAATATACTGTCATACTCTTCCCGTAACTCTGCTTCGCGTTCTTTGATTAAGCGCTCACAAAGAGCTGTAACCTGGGGTAAGGTGAAAATCGGCATTGAATCGATAGTATGTGTAGGTTTTAAAGATGATTGTGAGGAGCCAACTGAGATATTTTCAAGTTTTTGGAAAATTGGTTCACTGGTACGCAAGGGTGACTGATCACTATCTGAGTCTTGACTATCTGACGTAGGTGACCGCAAAGCCATGGATCGAAAACTACCACTGCACGAAGCAACTGATGCAAGAAAAAATATGAAGTGAGAAACAACTTTGTTTATAAGATAGAAAGCTAGATATATAATGGCATGCCACGTACAAGTCCTATTTCATTGTTTTAGACGTGACAAGGATTATTTAATTTATTCGATTAATAACTAAAACAGTCAAAACCATCAAGTACAAAATGATTATCCTCAAAACATAACAAAAGTAACAAGTATAAATATGTCGTAAATTTATAAGATCTGTTTTACAATATCGGATAAAGTACAATACAATATAGCGAGACTTTTTGAAATGATCTTGCATACATATATTTCCGTTGTTGTAACCACATTTATAAATCAACTTCTTAATGAAAGACATTTCATAAATGATTAGTAAGATTTATAACTTATCGAGATGACTGCTGTGCAAACGTGAAACAAATCATCAACCAGTTATCAGTAACACTTAACTTTTTAGTTGAGTATGCTTTTTAAAGTAATGGTTGGCAATCGTTTATAAAAGAATGTTTACTGCTGACCAGGGTATCATGAGACAAATGAATGCTTCAAGATTTCCGTAGAAGTATCTTGGATCGGTTGGATAAATCTCACATCACGATTTTGATATTTACTAAATTTGGAACCGGTTTTAATAGTTAACAAACAAGCCACTGACCCATTTATAGGTTATAAGAGGAAATTCTGGGACTGAAACTAAGTTACTAGACCAAGTTCTCAACTCGTACTGACTGTGAAACATTTATATTTTGATGGAGTTTTGTCCTTTGAGTTGAATGGTTTGGTCGACAGCTCAGACAACAAAACCCCATTAAATCATTAACCTGAGTTACAGACCTTCCCCACTACCACAAAAACATTTATATCTATTTAACCATACACATTGGTACAAGGAGGCACCAAATACATATGCGCGACACAAACTTTTGAACTTGTGATACTGCCTGGGTACCAAAACATCAGCAGGTGGTTTTTCTTAGGGGTCTGATTTATAAGGCTGTAGAGCAATGTTAGGAGTTGCAGTCCAATAGTAACCTGTGACCAACAACTGTCTCACACGCCATTCGTTCGTGCAGGATACTGGGGACCATGTGCACCATTGGTATGTGATCAAGGTTTTTCAGCTTCGCTGTGTAGATACTCCGTATCCAACAACTCGATTAAAGCGCCGAACATCCGCTTTCTGTTCTCTCAATCTTGTTATCAGCACTGTGGAACAGCTAGTAATATCTCACTTGAGTAAAAGACTAACTGGATTTTGGACAATCTGTAGTAACACACAGAATGACTGGTTCTAGTGCACATAATTATCTATTTTAATTCAAGTGAATGTGTATTATAATTATTTATGTGGCTCATATTTGTTTGGTGCCTCCTTGTACAAATGCTTAGGTGTGCATATATTAGAACAAAAAGACCTCGCTGCCAGTGATTAGATGACTACAACTTTATACGTATGAATTTAACTGATTCGACAGAAAAGAGTAACAACTCACCCACGTTTTCGTCCTTTGCATGACCGGCGAATGTCGCAGCTATTGCCGGGGTGGGACCTCCAAGAAACCGTGGTATCAAACGACGTCGTTGTAGACGTTTAATTTCTTCCTTGATGCGCCGTTTCAACTGAGCTGATGGATGGAACATTAAACATATCAGAGATAAAAATCAAGGCGAGAGTTAACAAGCACAAAAATTTGCTGATAGGCTAGTCACAAACATTCTGTGAATAATTTTCTGGAAGACAACTAGGAAGAAATTAAATAAAATGTGGCCGGCATGTATTCTTGACAAATATCATTTGAAGCTGGCGACACTGACGAGTCCTCAGTATGCCTCAATCTGAGCACTGGTGTTCGAGTAACAAATTTTTAGGTTTACGCATTTCATCAGTCCATTCTTTAGTGATGAAAACTGCCGGAAAACCCCTTGACTGATGAAGTCCAGTGAGGCTATTGAGCCAAGAAAAATGATTACAATCTGACATCGGTGTCCCGAACTTGTATAAGGGCAAAGATATACTTAACATATCCATGGTCAGAACTAGAATTTGCTTGCTTTTTCTCTACAAATCTAATTTAGGCGTTTATGAAGACAAATGGCTTGAAAATTTTAGTCAAATAAATACATGTGATTAGCATGTCTATTTCACAGACTGATAGTGATTAAAGGCTACTCAAAGGAATTACATCTAGCTCTTAGACATAGACCAGTATGTCACTCAACTCACGAAACAGAATCAAACTCTCTAGGTACCATGGAGTCAATCCATTAGGTAGGGTTGCCCTTCCAATGTACTCCAAATGGGCTGCTAACGGTGGGTAAAATTTGGGTCAGTCTTTGGTATAAAGTAAGCCTTGAGTCCTAGTCAAGGTAAACAAGGACCTTTGTTTCTAGAGGATGAAGGAAACAAAAAGACCTATGGTAACAAAATCTGGGTTAATGAGTGGACAGCTTTTCGTAAAGCTTACCATGATGAAACCGTACTTAAAATTTTACCCTTAATTGGCATATCGGCTGAATTAATAAGCGCTCTGGGGTTGACACGTGAAAAGTGGTGCAAGTGCACAAAGTACATACAACACAAAAACTAGTCTCCTCCACCGACCCAAATATTTTGTACATTAGTTCGGTTCATGACTAACACTGAACAATAGGATATTCAACAGCAGAAACAAAACACCTAACATTGGCCAATCCGATTTAGATACTTAATGATGTGTGTTTAGGAAGCACTGGCTTCATTTACTTAAATACACAATAAGTATAATGATGTTTGGATATCGTATAAGGTCTGACTCCAAAACATTTGATAGACAAACAATACATTTGAACTAAAGCGAACGTACTTTGGGTTGATAACTCCTTGGGAGTGAATGGGGATTCTGACGCTGATGCCTCCGTGTTGCAGTTCCGAGTTAAAGCTTGGTATCGCCTTCTTTTGGAACAAGTGGCTTCCATGATGTCGAAGTTATGGGTTCGTTTAAGCGTGGCACATGCCATATTTCCAAGTGACAAAATAACAAGTTAACTAGAGTTCACCAATGAAACACGCAACAAACTATGTATATACACCGGATGTCACCCGCTCACAAGATGGTTTGGCGCGAACTGATCGTATTCAATCTACGGGTTTACTGAAACAAATACATGATCTTCAGCAGGTTCAGTAGAAGCACAAGCTGTCTGTACCAATATCTCCAGATTGTGGAAATATAAAGGTATGATACTTCCTTGTATAATATATTTGCCATGCGTGTTTTGTGAAGCAATAAATATTTCCACATTTGTCGTGTTCATTCCACCTGATGCATATATCTGAGGTCATACATAGTGCCTTTAGCTAGAAGTAGATTTGTGGAGATTTTTAACATTATCCTTAGCCTCATTGGGGTCAACACCGTAGGAACTTACTTGGATAAGTTACAGTCTCAGATACCCTAAAATTCCGTCGTAACACCTTACGAATATTTCATATGTAAACACTACTTAACTGCAGGAGTCAGTTCACGTATTCGTATCATAATAAACTCGAGATTTGGGGACAAGAGGAGTTAATAATTTCGTACTAAATATAACTGACTTCTATCGCCGACTTCGTGGCGGTGCAAACCGCACCTGGGGCCGTTAACCCAGGACATACAATGTTAAGATTCAAGCTTATAGCCTTCCATATCTGAAATACACATGTTCATTTTCGAAACAAAGCATGAGAACCCCTGGCTCTGTCCTACAGTTATACTTGTCACCTGATCTTTAAATGAATAGCCAGGAGATTAGTCCCCACACATGAGCGTTACAATCAAAATTTCTGAACTCATAAGCATTATGAAGACCCATGGCTTCCCTGCAAAATTTTTTTTCCAAGCTACTATAAGAGCTATGGGAACGAATTTTTTACTGACATCGCTGTCGGATGACTTTGTAGTGACCTACTTTCATGACGATAATGCGATCGGTATAATGGAAACAATTATTATAACCAATTTTACAGTGATTGTTTTGCTGTACTTGTTTGCTAACTGTACAAAAAGGCTTTTCCTTCCTTTGCCTGTGACCTTGCACGAACTTGCTTACTCTGGACAGTTCCACCCGTAAACTTTGGCACGTCTCGGTATCCTTTCGAAAACACGAGATCAACAACAAATATATCTTATTGCAACCACTAACAGCCTTATGGCTTTGGCCTACCGAGGGATCCACGTCGATACCTGGCACGTAATCTTCATGTGGTGGTGATCATAGTCAATCGCGACTCGACACCATCTGCAACTTTAATGTTCTCACTAAATAACAAATTCATCCCGGTCATTTATATTTTGGACTGGTTAGAAAGATTTATTTTGTTTGAAAGCTTATTTTAATGCACTCTTTAGGAGCCCAACGCACCTATCTTTCCACTGGACTACGTTTTTAACCATCACTCAGCGGAAGTTCATGAGATAGTGACATTGTATGCTCTTGGACGAAGTGATCGTACCCTCTCATTTCTCACTGTTTTCACACATGTACTGCCCGCCGAACTTGTCTCTCACTAAAACTTTTTTTGAAACTAAATACGATGCTGTGAAGGTGGACATGGAAGGGATATCCTGTTTGAGCGGAAATAACTTACTCGGAGTTATTAAATAGTGGAATCTTCCTCAGGGTAAGCTTCTTCAATCCACTGAGCAACACACTCTCCTGTGTCGGTCACATGCTAAACCCTTCAGATCCCCTCAGGTTGAAGTCTGGTGCCTGAGAAACCACTGGAAAATAGGATGTTGTTTGAAGCGGCGCCAAAGATTGGTGACTTTTCGATAGATCTTCACGTAATAGATGTACACAGATAGATAGATGGGATAGAATAAGTTATCATTCCAGATCGATGAAGTCTATGATGAGCAACAGTAAACATTTGTATAAATCCTTAAAGAAATATGTACGTAACACAGTAAATATTGGGTCGGGATAACCTCACGGTACACATGTCTCATAATGATATTGCTGTGCTTCTGATTGGTGAATTCCAAACCAATTACCACCAATCCGCTTTATCTCCGTCCAATGACAGTTCTATCCCCTTCAGTCGTGATATAAACATCATGGCGTTTGAAACTCACAAAGTCAAAGAGAGTCGGAGATGCTCGAAACTAAATAAATTTCCTGCACTTGGTTGAATTCGACTCACAGTCTTAAATGGATGGGCAAATACACCTTACTAACTTACTTACGCCTGTTACCCCCAATGGAGCATAGGCCGTCGAACAGCATTCTCCTAAGCACTCTGTCCAGAGCCTTCCTTTCTAGTTCTATCCAGTCGTTATCCTTTCTTCTCATATCTGTTTCCACTTCTCGGCATAATGTGTTCTCTGGTCTTCCTCTTCTCCATTGGCCATGAGGATTGCAAGCGAGGGCCTGCCTTGTGACGCCGTTGGGTGCTTTCTTCAATGTGTGTCCTGTTCACATCCAGCGCTTCTTCCTGATTTCTTCCTTCTCTGGAATCTGGTTTGTTGTCTCCCAAATTAGGTTGTTGCTGATATTGTCCGGCCAACGGATCCGAAGTAATTTGCGTAGACAACTGTTAATAAGCACCTGTATCTTCTGGATGTTGGCTTTTGTAGCTTTCCTCGTATCCGCCCCATACAGTAGAACTGTCTTGGCATTCGCATCGAAAATTGTGACCTCGGTGTTGGTTGACAATTGTTTTGAGCTCCAGATGTTCTTCAGTTGTAAATATGCTGCTCTTGCTTCGCCAACTCCCACCTCCACATCTGCATCAGATCCACCGTGTTCATCAATGATGCTGCCCAGATATGCAAAGGTTTTTATATCCTTCAAAGCTTCTTCGTCAAGTGTGATTCGATTGATGCATGTTGTGTTATATCGAAGAATCTTGCTTTTCCCTTTGTTTATATCGAGACCTACTGCTGCTGAGGCTGCTGCTACACTGGTCATTTTCTCCTGCATTTGTTGTTGCGTGTGTGTTAGAAGAGCTAGACCATCTGCGAAGTATAAATCGTCCAACTGCATCCCAGCTGTCCACTTCGAATGAGTCGGTTAGTTGTCCTCCATGGACGATTTGGCAGTTTAATTAATCATAGGATTTCCGTATGATATTGACTATCTTCTCAGGCACGCCGTAGTGTCGAAGAAGCCTCCATAGTTTTGTCATGTCCACGCTATCAAATGCTTTCTCGTAGTTAATGAAGTTGATGCGGAGTGATAAATTACATTCAGCTGATCGTTTCACGATAAATCCGCCTGTAGCACTTCTAGAGTTACTGCCGGTCCCAAGCCCGGGTAAAGGAGGAGGGTTGGGCATGGGGTTAGCGAACCCATCCCGTAGAAAAGCTAACTCGCTAACCAGAAAAAATAATTCAAACCATTTACACTCTGCCCTGGGAGTTGAACGAATAATTATGACGTCTCATGATGAAAGCCGAAATTCTTCCGAAGTCACGTGACCGATGCACCTTCTAACAACCAGAGCAACACTCTTTATAGGTTCATGGAACGTCCGGACAATGTGGGAGACAGGAAAGACCAGCCAAATAGCAATGGAAATGAGGAGATACAACTTGGCAGTACTCGGAATCAGCGAAACCCATTGAACACAAACTGGACAACAAAGGCTAGGTACAGGAGAGATGCTGCTGTACTCCGGTCACGAAGGCGAAAATGCTCCACACACTCAGGGAGTTGCTCTAATGCTGTCCAAAGTAGCACGAAATGCACTTGTGGGATGGGAATCTCATGGACCCAGGATAATCAAAGCATCATCCAGAACAAAGAAGCAAGGGATCACAATGAACGTTATCCAATGTTATGCACCCACCAATGATATCAACGACGATGATAAAGATCAGTTCTATGAAAGGCTGCAATCAACTATAGCAAAGTGCTCACGAAAGGACCTGACCATCCTGATGGGAGATCTAAATGCTAAAGTTGGAGTGGACAACACAGGATATGAAGATGTAATTGGACGACATGGATTAGGAGAGAGAAATGAAAATGGGGAGAGACTTGAAAACCTATGTGCATTCAAAAAATTCGTTATAGGCGGCACAATATTCCCACACAAGCGCATACACAAAGCTACATGGATCTCACCGGACCACATCACAGAGAACCAGATAGACCATATCTGTATCAACCAAAAATTTTCGAAGGTCAATGGAAGATGGGAGAACCCGGAGAGGAGCTGACAAAGCTTCAGATCACCACCTGGTTGTGGCCAAGATGAGACTGAAGCTAAAGAAACACTGGACAACTGGACAAACAGCACTACAAAGGTTCAATACAGCCTTCCTTCGAGATACTGACAAGCTCAACCAATTCAAGATAACTCTCAACAACAGGTTCCAAGCTCTACAGGATCTACTGAAAGAACAATAAACTACTTTGGAGGACAACTGGAAAGGGATAAAAGAAGCACTAACTTCAACGTGTCAGCAGGTTCTTTGTCCTAAGAAGCATCATCACATGGAATGGATCTCTCTGGGAACCCTGGACAAGATTCAAGAAAGGAAGAACAATAAACTAGCAATTAACAACAGCCGAACATGAGAACTACAGAGGCATCAGTTTGTTATCAGTACCAGGAAAAGTTTTCAACAGAGTGCTGCTGAATCGGATAAAAAACGCAGTAGACGCCAAACTAAGGGATCAACAGGCTGGATTCCGTAAGGATAGGTCGTGCAGAGACAAAATTGCGACACTACGGATCATCATTGAACAATCAGTTGAGTGGAACTCATCACTATACGTCAACTTCATTGACTATGAGAAGGCGTTTGACAGCGTGGACAGAAGAACATCATGGAAACTTCTTCGACACTATGGAGTTCCTGAAACGATTGTCAACATTATCCAAAACTCATACGATGGACTACAGTACAAAGTGGTGCATGGAGGAGAGCTGACAGATGCATTTCCAGTAAGGACCGGAGTCAGACAAGGCTGTCTACTCTCCCCATTCCTCTTCTTTCTGGTGATCGACTGGATTATGAAGAATTCGACATCTGAAGGGAAATACGGAATACAATGGACTTCTCAGAATCTATTAGATGATTTGGACTTCGCAGATGACCTAGCCCTCCTCTCTCATACACACGACCGAATGCAGATGAAGACAGCAAATGTAGCAGCAGCTT